AAATTTCCATTCTGTACTTCTAGATGACAGTTGATGGCAAATAGCTGAAATTGAAAATGAAACCACTGATAAGAGCCATATTGTGCTCCACATCAAGTTTTTAACTAATGTTTTTAACATCCATTGATGATACTTGTCTGAATCAGTTGAGTTCATTCATACATATTCAATAGTAATTTAACATTAGAGTTTTTTTGCATTTCGTATATACTTATATATTTATTCTGAATAGCTTAATTATAGTAATATTTAATTATATTTTTCAAATCTCAGTTTTAGAATTAAAACTATTGAGTGAAAAGATTTATTTTCATTTCTTTATGCATTTGTTTATTTTTAAAACTTTTTTTGTGCAACAACTTTTGTCCTTTGGATATGTCTCAGTGATAACACAAAACTGGTACTTGGAATTGTTTTGTTTGATTTTTTTTTTTTTTTTTTTGTCTTTGTCGTTTTTATCGGTACTAGGGATCAAACTCACGACTGCCTGCTTGCAAGGCAGGCGCTTATGCTGTTGAGCTAAATCCCCAGCCCCTTGTTTGTTTGATTTTTTTTTTTTTTTTTTTTTTTTTGGTGGTGGTATGGATCAAACCCAGGTGCTTGAGATCCTTGGCAAATACTCTATGACTAAGTTACACCCCAACCCCAAATAATTATCACTGTGATGCTGTTATTCTTTGATAATATAATTGGCTTGTTTCCAATTTATTTTCAGTATGGAGGCTTGGATAATTTTTTTTGCATTCTAATTTATTGTTTTGAACATGTGAGATACTTAAAATCAAAAGTGTAAAAATAGACTTACAGTCTTCCTTCCATTTTTATTCCTTACCTTACCCACCCCCAAAGTAGCAATTATTAGTGTTTTCTAGTTTATCTTTCCAGTTTTCTTTTTGTGAAGATAGCAAAATATTCTTGTACATTTAACTCTAATTAAAAATTATCAGGGGTGTTCTTTTTTAATATAATGGAGAGCATTCTGTATCATTCCACAGAGATTTCCTCATTCTTCATGGCTATGTACTACTGTGGTATTTGGATGGCTCATGGTTCTCTCAGTCCTCTTGATAGCCACCTGGAGTGTTTTGTCTAGTCATTTGGTGTTTCAAATGTTGTTGCTGTGTGAAATTGTGTACATTTGTTGTTTAATTTTTTGAAAGTCCAAAGTATATCCCCTCCACATAAATTGTAACCATAAGGCTTAGCTGTGTCTGACAGTAACTGTTTCTTGTTTCTTTTTGTTTTTTGGTTTTTTTTGAGGGGTTTTTTAGGTACTGGAATTGAACTCAGGACTTCATGCTTGCCAGGCAGGTGCTGTGCTGTTGAGCTATATCCTTGGCTGACAGTACCTGCTTTTTCATATGCTTGTCAAGAATGTTGTCACATTTAAGGCTCTGGAAAGGTGGGGCCGTGGGAACTAAGGGTAATTTTATTTTATCTTTTCATAAGGCAAGCATTGTTTTTAATGTTTATGGGTGACTTTCCTTTTCTGTGTTTCCTGTTTATATAGTTTACTCATTTTTCTCTTCAGTTTTCCCTAATTTTTCAAAAGTTTTTATATATCCAAAAGACAAACGCTTGAGATAATGTATTTCCCATGTTGACTTATCTTGTTATTTACTTATTTTTAGTGTTTACAGACTTAAGGTCATTTATTTTGTTTTTAAATTTTTATTGGTACATTTTTGATATATAATAATAACATCATAGACAGTTTTTACCTTTTCAAGATACATTTCACTGCTTCTTTTTTTCTCATTCCCCTATTTATATCATGATAGTTCTTTTGGGTATGCCATGCAGTTTCTTTTTATGTACGTTAATTTATCATTTTTTTCTTTGAAACTTTGGAGTTTGGGATTAAAATTAGCCCTTCCTGACTTTCAACTTTAAAAGAATTTACATATTTTTCTTCTACTACTTATGTGCTTTCATTTTACTGTTTATGGAACTCTTATTTCTAGTTTATTTAGGTGACTTTGGCTTCTAGTATAAACTATAGAACTGATTTAATCTTTTTCCAAATGGCCATTCACTTGTACTACTAGCACCCACCATTCATTAAATAAAGATTAGAACTTTCTGCTCAGTGACTTGAAATGCTACTATTATCTTATGTTCAGTTTTTACATATATTGGCACATCTTTTTTGATTTTGTATCCTGTTCTGTTGGTTGGTCTTGCACTGGTATCACACTCTTTTATATAGGCTTTATAATATGTTTTAATATCTGGTAAGGGTACCTTCACTCTTCAAATAGTTCTATTTTTGTGAGCTTTCTGGATATTCTTATTTTTCATATAAAGTTTAGCATCAATTTATCTAGCTCTGGAAGAAATTATTAGAAGTCATCTAGAGATATAGATTGTCTACATTTTCTTCAAGTCTTCTTTTGTCTATATCAGGTTGCTTTATATTATTGTTTTATATACATGTAATTTATATATATTACATATGCTAGCAAAAATTGGAAAGTTACATGTGTAGATTCTCACTCACACATACACACACACACACAGATATTTTTTAAGACAAGGTCTCCTTACATTTTTCAATTTTGTGTCTATGAAAGTATAAACATATATACATATACAGAGAGAGCCTGCCCCAAAAATATATACACAGTTCTGAAAGCTGATGGTCACCACTTTGAGAACCCCTTATAATTGTAAAGGCCAAAAGTAACTTATGTTAATCTCATGATGCCTCAGTACATTTAGTATTAATATACTTACATAAGTTTTTCTCTTCTTGATGTATATTTTTTGGCAGATACTGTATATACTTTTCAGGCAAGCCTCAAATTCACAATCTTCCTATTTTGGCCTCCTTAGAAATTATAGGCATGCACTGTCATGCCCACTTAAAATACTTTACTATCAAAAATGTATACATATGTTAAAATTAAAAATAGTCTTAACAAATCCAGCATATTGTTACCCAGCTTCAACATGAACACGTTTTTTAATAGCTGGAGTTCTTGACTTACAAATTCAATATTCTTAACTCTCTTCATCTGACTTTATAAAACATATACTTTGGTTATTATTACTCATGGAAGAGTTTGTAGGTAAACTACAATGGAATACCCCATTTACATAGTCTGAGAAGTTTTTTTAAATATGAAGAGCTATTGCCAATCTTTGAACTAGTTCAGGTAACAGTTAAGTAATGTTTACAAGTGATTTGTAACCAAAAAATATTTAAATCCCATTATTCATCAGAGTGTAACTTTATTTATTTACTTATTTTTAGTTGTTTGAGACAGTTTTGCTGTATAGTTCAGACTGCTCTTGATGTCATTGTGTAGGCTGGTCTTGAACTTCACAGCAAGCCTCCCACCTCAGCCTCCTGAATGCTGGGATTACTGGTATCCATCACCATGTCCAGCTAAAGTATAATTTTTGATAGTTAAAAATCATAATTATTAAAAATTTAGATTGAACATGTGTAGATGGTTTTAAATTCAGTGAGTAAATGAGACCATAGGCAATCAATGCAAGTATTTGAGGAACTCAAGTTTATATGGGCCTTCCTTAAAAGAAAAAAAAATGTTAGACTCTTTAAGGTTGTTAAACTAAAAACAAAACTGCTTACTACCCTATTTGCAATTTTTGATGTCTTTTATATTGAGCAGAAATTGTTTACATAACTCCTGGACACAGACATGTAGGTTAACACATAACCGCACAGTTGGATACTTTACAAGGAAGTAGCTACATCAAAAATAGTGTATTTGTCTAGAAAATTAAGTAATCCTTAGGTAGATCTGTTAAACCACAGTTGGCAAAACATAGTCTATGGGTCAAATCTGGTCAGGCTGTTCTTTTTTTTCTTTTTTTTTTTTTTTGTGGTACTAGGGATTGAACTCATGACCTTGTGCTTGTGAGGTAGGCACTTATGCCACTAAACTAAATCCCCAGCCCTGGCTGTTCATTTTATAAATATAAATAAAGTTTTATTGGAACTTAACCCCATTCACTTAATTCATTCATCATCTGTAGCTGGTTTTGAAATCTAATGGTAGAGCAGTGTAGTTGCAACAACCTACTTGCTCACATAACCTAGATATTTAGTATTTGGCACTTTATAGAGAAGTCTATCAACACCTATATTAAATAGTATCTCGGGATGTTACTGAAACAATATATTGCCACTCTTTTGGTCTTACTCCTGAATTGGAGTAAGTTTTTTTAAGAATTCAGATGCACATTGAGATGATAAGAATCTGTTCTAGCTGATGTTGCTGTAGCATGTGAACCTCCCTTTGTGTTTTTCCTTTATTAGTGTACATTTCTCTAGCCACTGTGTTAGTTTTCTTTGTACATTTTTCTACAGTTCTCCTTTTTTCCTTCTGGCCCTGTATTTCACTTTATTTTTCTTCTTCTCCTACTTAAACTGGCTGTGCTAAGAATGTTATTGTGTTTTAGGTAATTTAGGTCAATGTAAACTGTTACATTTGCTTCAAAATACAAATCAGTTAAAGATATCAAAATGCTTTTTTATTGATGTCTTTTCTGTCACTCATTCCCTCGACTTCTCCCAGTGTTATAGCTTTCAGCTGAGACATACAGATTTCTAAACTAATTAAGGAGTTAATTAAAAAAAAGTGAAAGTAAGGTTTTTCTTTTAGTCTACACTTCATGTCTTAATATAGTTTAAAACTGTTTCATGTATATAGTTTTGTACAGAAAATCTCAAAGAACACCTGAAATAACTAAAGATACAGAATGGTTAGTTCACACTGTCTAAAAATTGGTAGTTGATGACAGTTAAAATTGTTAGTTGATGACAGTTAAAATAGTCAAAGTGGAAATAATATTTAATAAATGGTCTGTTATACTAAGACTTTAAACATATGCTTTTCTACTTAGAAAAGGATATAGTTAGTACAGATATTCAAAGAAACAGTATTTATTGTCACATTTGTATTAAATTTTAAAAATAGTACTTAAAATCTAATTTTACTGCATAGTAAATAATTTTTTTCATCTTCAAGATAAAGCAGAAGGAGAGAAAGAATAATACTGATACTTTATATGAAGTTGTGTGCTTGGAAAGTGAATCAGAAAGAGAGAGGAGGAAAACGACAGCCAGTCCTTCAGTTCGCCTGCCTCAGTCTGGATCTCAAAGCTCAATGATACCTTCTCCTCCAGAAGATGATGAAGAGGAAGGTAAATTGTAGGATGTAAATTGTACAATTTATATTTTGAGGTTAGGGACTCTGATATTAAAAAATTATTATTAATATGATACGGCTTTTGGGATTCATCCAGTCAATACCCAGGAGAGTCTACTTTATGCATTGAGCTGTAGTAGGAGACTTATAAAACAAGGAGCATTAAGATGGCTGAGGTGGTACACACTTGATCCCAGCTGCTCAGAAGACTGAGGCAAGAAGATTGCAAGTTCAGACCCAGCCTGGTAACCTAGTGAGACTTTATCTCCAAATAAAAAGGAATGGGGTTATAGGTCAGTCACAGAACTTTTGCTTAACATGTGTGAGGCTGTGAATTCAATCACTAGTACCAAAAAAAAAACCCCCAAAAACAAATAGACTTTCTTTAAGATATTTGTAAACAAATTGACTGTAAAAATGAGATTTGATAATTAGTGCATTTAAAAACAGTTTAGTGCTATCTTGGTGTGTGAAAACATTTTTTAGAGCAGATTTGACACAGCATCTACCTGAATGTAACCAGCTCAACTGCTTCATTTTACAGGCATAGTTTCACTTGCCAAAATGTGATGTTCATTCAGAACTTTTCACCAACTATACACATGTACACACAATTATATATTGTTTTTTCACTGATAATCTACCAGTTCTTTCTTACTTTTTGAATCTATTGAATTAATGTGTCAGCCACTATTAAAAGGTAATATACAGAAGGATTGAAAGGAAAAGAATACAGGAAAAATGAACATTTGAGAGTAATTGTCTAGTTTCTATCATACACACACACATATATATATATATATATATATACCAGGACTTTATTTTTAATGAAAAAAGGTTGATTGATAATGATACAAGGCTATATGGTTATATAAGACATGTATTTATGTGAATGTCACAGGAAATGTTTTGGGAATTTATAGAATAAAATTCATTTTTCATTGTGAGGAATGTTTAAGTTAGGACTTTAAAGACAAAACTAGGAATAAATTGCCTGCTTTAGACATTTCTGGATAAAAAAACATCACCTTGACAAAGATATGTACATGGAAGGAATGATAGAAGACATATCCCTGTTTATATGTACCATTTTCAAGCTCACAGTAAGTTTTTTCACTGTTCTGTATAACTCCCATTGTCCTGGGGATAAATTTCCATAGGATCACTTATTCGTAATATTAATAGCACCAATAGATGCTTATGTAGACAGACACTTTGCTTATCTTACTATAATTCTTGAAAAACAAGATTTATCATTATCCTCATTATTTATTATAGCATGCATATAAAGAAATGGATTCTCAAATAAGTGAATCTGACCAACCTCATACCTTTGATAAGGTAGAACTGGGAAGTCATAACTTGGAGGAAAAAAAAAATGGCGGTTTGCTAAGGGTCTGGGTGCAGAGTCTCTGCGGAGAAATCAGATCAGATGCTAGAATATGTAACATGGAGAGGACCAGATAAATGGATAATTCTTATTAACCAAGGCAGTAACCGAAGGGAAAAATAAAACTATGAAGACGAAGGAAAAGTGCAGGTGGAGACTTGAAGCCTGATGTGCTCACTGAGCCCCGTTCCATGCTGTACTAGGCACGCCCAGACATCCAAGGTCACACTGAGACCATGTCTGCTGGTGAATCCCGGACCCTTAACGGGAGGACGTGGTGCAGTGAATCCAAGGGGAAAAGCTATATTGGCTCTCGGCGACTGCTAGAAATTGAGACCTGGGGTCCTCGAAGCAGCCAGAGCCACCTGGCTGCGCTGGAGGAGACTGTGACAAGCTCCTGGGCTCCAAAGGCAGACACCGCCCAGTTTTCTAATTGATCCACCCTGTGTTGGGAATGTAGTGAAGACACGCTGTGCAGTGTGCAGTGGACCCAAGAGGAGGAACTGCATTGATTCCCGGTGAGTGCTAGATACTGGGTCCCTGGCTGGAGGACATCTTGGAATTGGGCAGAGCCCAGTGCCGCGGCTGCATCAGTGACACAGAGAGGACTGGTAGAGGACACCTTGGAGTTGGGCCGAGCCTGCTGCCACAGTGACATCAGATAGTCGCCCCTGACGCAGAGAGGTCTGGTGGAGGACAACTTGGATTTGGGCAGAGCCCAACACCGCTGTGATATCAGTCAGCCGCCCCTGGCACAGATAGAACTGGCAGGGTCTGCTGGGGTGGAACTATGCCTCTGGTTGGGACCCAATTAGCAGATACAAAATTGTTGCGATTCTGTGATGTCCACAAGGTACAGCCTAACTTGCAGATTGTCTGGCACAGACTGAAAGCTGGCCTGCACCATCCTTACATCCCTGCCTGTACCTCATAACAGCAAATTGGGGAGGGCAGCAAAAACTCCAGTCAGCACGCTTTGGAAAGACCCTAAGCAATATGGAGAGGGCCAGAGACCCCCAGAACACTCCAGTCTGAAAGAAACCAGAAACATGACAAGAGATAGAAATAAAAAAAGTCTCCAGCTGCCGAACCTGGGAAAATAAGCCCAGGAGAAGTAAATACAGAAGAGAACCAGCACAGTAACCATCCAATACTAGACACCGCATCAGTGGAAATAAAGAAATACCTTTATGACCTCATAGACGAATTTAAAACTGTACTTTTGATCCAAGTGAGGCAAGATATAAAGAGATTAATTAAAGAAATGATAAGCCCCTTCCAAGAAAACACAGATGGAAGAACAGAGGAAATCAGAAAAGAAAGAGAAGCCTCTAATGAAGAATTTAAACATAACCTAGAATACATGCAACAGATCCAAAGAAATTACCAGGAAACTAAAAGCTCCATTGAAAACTGGCAAAATGCCTTGACAGAAAGTAAAGTTAGCACTTGAAGAGAGATTTATGATATATGATCGTGAAAGAAAAGACCTCTTAAAAATAACGAGGAACCAGAAAGAAACAATTCAAAGGCTAGAAGATGACAAAAGGATAAATAACTTAAAAATAAAGCATGTGAGTGAGGAAGCAGGAGTAACCAAAAATGAACTACAAAGCATATGCATAGATATATTAAAGGAAAACTTCCCAAGCATAGGAAAAAGAAATGATACCGAGATAAATGAGGCATACAGAACTCTGACCACCTACAACCAAAACAGATCTACACCCAGACATATAATAATCAAGCTTCCAGAAATCCACCAGAAGAACATAATACTAAAAGCAGCCAGGGAAAAGAAGCAGACTACCTACAATGGAAAAATTAGCAAAATAACAGACTTATCAACACAAACTCTCAAATTGAGCCTGGGGGGAAATTATCCAGGCCCTGAAAGAAAATAATTTACAAGCAAGACTGATGTACCCAGCAAAACTCTCTCTCAAAATTAATGGAGAAATTAGATGTTTCTAAGACAAGGAGAACTGTGGAAGTTCATGGCCATCAACCCAACCCTACAGAGAGTGCTGAAGGACATTCCAGAGAGAGAGAGGAAGTGATACCAGGATTCCAGCAACAGTGGCAGAGAGGCCTCAATGAAAGGGGCAGACAGTGGAATGAGGGAGTAAGGTGGACAAATTATAGCAGTAAAGTGGAGTAGCAGACATGAGGCAGAGACAGTAAGCTATAATCTTTAATATAGATAGCCTTGATACACTAAAATAAAAATACAGGCAGAGTAGATTAGGAGACAGGCTCCATTGAGATGCTCTGAATGAGAAATACACTCAACCCGAAGGAGGGTTAATAAACTGAAAGTCAAAGATGAGAAAGCAAAGCTATGTGCTACAGGAAACCAGAGAAATAGGGACAACTTATCCAGCAGTCACAGATACATTGGAAAGCTATGACACTTTTGAGCACTGTAGAACTACACAGCTGAAAGGAAGAAAAACCCTATGACTTTAGTGAGTAAAGGAGTACAGCTCAAGATCAAGCTCGGGGGTAGAAAGGTTCAGCAATACTCAGACAACAGGCTGGCCCCCTAATCTAAAAACTAAAGGGGCTAGTGAAACCCAAAATACACAAAGCGTCCTGAGAAGGGGAAAGGTGAAAAATAGCCTAAAAAGGGAAGGCAGAGGTCATTGTTAATAGTGTATCAGGATTTAAAAGTCACAGTCATCTTATCACTGTTTAGTTTGAATTTATATTGTTCCAATCTGTCCACTCATATCAGATTTGAGGGCACAGACATCTAACCCAAAAATAGCAGGTTATACCATGCTACTATACTTAATTTCCTATTAAGTTCAACTGAAACCTTGTATTACTTACATTGTCTTACTATGACTGATCTTATTTGAATCTGGTTTGTTAGACCGCGGTTTTGCCTTGGCTGATTTTATTCAAATTTGGTATGCTTGATAGTATCAAGTCTAAAAGTAAAGTCAACTACTCTGAAGATGACAAGATTTAAAGATATCCATTCCAGTTTTGATTATTAACTGCTTTCAAGTCCTACAATGTCTTCAAAGTTGTGTTTTTATAAAAATAGCTATGTAATACTATGCTTAACTATATTAAACCTGATGATACGGACAAGTCTATTGAAAATAACAAGAGAAAGCATAGTAACTACGGTAGATCACCTAGTATTGTGGTGTTATGTGCCTTTTTCATTGCATGTTTTTCTAGGAATTTGTTTTGCTGTCTTGTTATGATTTGTTTTTCCCTATAATACAGAGAGGATAGATATACATGTAGAAATTCACACATGGGAAGAATTTTTTAAACTATTTATAGGAACATTATATAATGCAAGATGTAATGAACAGATACTCTGAAGAAGAAGAGACACTAAGAAACCCAATGCTAATTCTGTAGCATTATGATATAAAATCTAGCAATACTATTATTCACTGTTCAGAGTGATATTAGTCTAGTCTCTTAAGTTCAATTTCAGCATACGTAAAGATAAGGACAGCTAGTATGAAGAGAATGAGAGACACTATGGTAGTCATTATTGTCTTCCCCAATGTCAGATCTTGAAGACCTAAAAAGCCTTCATCATTCTGTAATGATATGATTAGTTCTATAGTATGCAGTATGTATTCAATGTGTGCGAAGATGGGGACAACTATTTGGAAGGAAACTACAAACAATAAGACAGACAGTGAAAATCTCCAGTGGACTTGCTTTGAAATCTGTATTTCTTTAAATTGTTTCCTATTGAACTGTTTCGTTCTGTTTTGATATGTTTAATCTTACCCCCTTTAAGATAAAAAACAAGTGTGTAGGACTGATAACTGTATTACTGAGTTTTTGTTGGATCATTGAGCAGAACTGTTGGCAGTGACACTATTTGAATGTTTCTTTACATACTTTAATTTTGTAACCTGAACAACTATTTCTTTTTTTTTTTTCTTTTTCATTTTTATCGGTACCATGCATCGAACTCACAACTGCCTGCTTGCAAGGCAGGCGCTTATGCCACTGAGCTAAATCCCCAGCCCCTATGAACAACTATTTCTAAGATGACAATATGTAACTTATGAACTGGTGATTTCTTACTGTTTATTTTTTTTTGTAATTCTGTATTATTTCTACCCTTTTTTTCTCCATTTTTTTGTTTCTTTCTCTTTAAATTAAAAAAAAAGGAAGTCATAACTTGAATCCAGGTTTATGAATCCATGTTCTGTGTTGTAAGATATTATCGTTTTTTATACCTGATTTTCAGAAAGCATTTTGAAGTGAAGAAAAAGCACTTGCATTGTTTTGAATTAACAGATGCAATTTAAAGTCCTTCTGCAAAGCCAGGTTAAGTTACGTGTTATTTCATAAATATAAAATTGTTTCTACTGTACGAAACTGTGTGATGGTCTTGAGACTACCCATTTCTTTTCCAAGTTAACACTGGTTAAAATAGCAGAATAGGGGAAAGTTTATATAATCCTCTTTCTTTAAACTCTGGAATAAAAACAAAACCTAAATCTGAAAATGATAGTCTATTCATCATGAAACCAGAGAGTGCTTAAATGTCTGTACTGTAGGTTTTGAGGAATATCTTAGTTACAAAGAAATTTGCACCCAAAAATGAAGGGTAGTGTTAGTACTGACATCTAGTTCTAATCTTAGCATGCAGAGATATTTAAAAACAAAGGAAGACGTTCAGAACTCCTCTACTGTTAGTTCTTAAATAGAAAGAGAGAAGGACTAATGGCAATATAGAGTCCATGGGAAAGATGAGGGAGCAGTGGAACGTAAGCTCTTCAAATAAAGGATGGGTTTTCTTTTGTTCCATATTGTTTCCCTAGCGTGTACTGCAGTAGCTGGTATGTAGTCTGTGCTCAGTAAGTATAGAATGAGCAGCCCCCTCAGATCCATTTCCATGGTGAAAAGCTAATGACAGGGGAAATGGAATGGAAGGAAATTGCAGCCTGGCCATCATCTGATTCTCCCCAGTCCAGATTACAAACCAGGAGAACCTGTTATATTATATTTGTTCCCTCCAAAAAAATAAAAAATAAAAAATGTTTGGAAAGGATTACTGTTTTCCAGAGATGCTTCTTACCCATAAGACATTATGCAGGAAGCCAGCAATCCAAGATGGGTTGTTCAAAACCAACATTCTGAAAGTCGGTGTGTTCGCTCACTCCCCGCTTCTGCACCTTAGGCCAGTGGTATTCTAAATGCAGATTTCAGAACACTGCTATTCACATTTGTTGAAAGCATCTAGGACAATAGGACAGAGTTTTGGAAGATAGGTCTTCCAATCTTTTTAAAGGAATTGTCATCCCTTATAAATTCTAGTGCATTTTTATAGCCATCTTTCCCCAAAGAGTTGTATTTGATATATTAATATTTTAATGAATAGAAAATTAAGCTGAAGTATTAAAAATAAAACCAGTCTGGCAAACTGTGAAGTTGATTGCCTTTGAGCTTTTTCTGTTGTTTATTCATCCATATACAAAAATCTCTCATAATCAGTCTTTTTCCCCATTCCACCATCAAAACTGATAATGTCCACACTATTATAAGTTTAATATAAACTGTCATATATATACATATATATATATATAATTGTCATATATATATCTGAGCCTTTAAAATTAGTGTTTTCGTGTATTATCTCTAGTTGGGATAATACATGGTTATACATGAACAAATTCATGTTTAAGTCACGAGAGTATAGGAGCTAAACTTTGTTTTTAGATGAAACCAAAAAAATAAACAACCAAAACCTAGCTTGATGAAAATGTATGGAAACAAATACTGTTGAACTTAAACCCCATTAATGGAAATATAAATTAGTAACAATCAGTTTGGAAGACAGTTTAAAGTTTGATAGTCCTTTAAAAGTATGAAATTTTGGACTTAGGAAGTTCGCTTTGGGGCATATGCCAGTGAAATTGATTTTATTCTGATACTGTTAATAGCAGAAAGTTGACCCCTCAAATGTCTAATGGAAGAGAATTAAGTAGATGTCTTGGTCCATATTTTTTGCTGCTTTTTTATGCTTTTCATTCCTTCTTATGCCTATACTAGTGTTGGTTCTTCTTTTTTTTCTTTTGCACAGAAATTGAACCCAGGGCTTTACATGTGTTAAGCATATAGTATTCCACTGAGTTACAACAACCCTCTGTGTTACTTTCTCGCTGTCTTCATGTCTTGTAACCTCTAAACTCTTCTTGAATTTACCTTTCTTAATTAAAGGTTAGATGCTTGATTTTGGACTTTTTTATGTTTTTGTAAATCAATGTATGCTGTTTGGTAGAAAATGTAGAAAGTCATAAAGATATAAAAGAACAGGAAAAATGTCAGTCAACTTACCACTCAGAGGCAGTAATTATTACTGTCTTGGTATAGTTCATTTCAGTCTGTTCTCTATTTTTACCGTAAATGAAATTATACTGAAGATTTTTAACTCTATATTTTAGTTTTTTGTGGTAATTTGCCGTATTATTATGTAAACATAAATGCAAGCATGCAGTTACCTTCTATACATATATCAATGGTTTCACCATTGTGTACTCTTGCCTTGTTTGTGATTTGAAATTTAAACTTTTAAATAAAACTGATGTATATTTTCATACATAAAGCTGCTTAGAAGAGAAAACTTAATCATATTTTGAATTCTGTAATTTTATGATTGTGTGGCTATTTTCTACAATTGACATAATCTGGATCTATATAAAAGCAAGAGTGAATTAAAGAAGTTATAAAAATAAAAACAATCCATGTAGGAACATTTTTATTTGTACTTATACATAAATATTAGAAGAAAGAAATTATATTATGCCCTCCAAAAAGTCTTTAAATTTGACTCCAGTATCCCTGTGTCTGGCTAGTATAGCCACCTCTGCCACCTCTGTTACCCTTTTGTGTGTGCTTTGTTTATTAAAGATAATGATGAACCTCTCTTGAGTGGATCTGGTGATGTATCCAAAGAATGTGCAGAAAAAATTCTTGAAACATGGGGAGAACTGCTGTCAAAATGGTAAGTTACATAAAATAGTTTTCCTTTTCATCTGCTTTCTCATTTCATGAGTAAAATATCTTACCTGACTGTAATATTCAGTTTGGAAATGATTAAAACTTCTGTATGAGGTTTATATTCTGGAGTCTCCATTTTGTGTTTTATAAAATGAGTGCACATTTATATGAAATTAATTCTCCCCATATCAGGAACATAATAAACCCCTATAGCTGGAGAAAATATGTATCTAAACATCCAGGACAGAATAAAAAAAGAAACAGATTCTTTATCTGCAGAAGTCAGACACTACTTATTGGTCAAGATAATTCCCAGTGGTTAACACACAATAATCAAAGAAGTTCAGAAGTTGTTTTTCCTTGTTTGCAATAAGTACCTGGGTTAGCAGGGTATCACAAGCACTCTACCAATTATTTGTCTCACCAACTTGTAAAATTGAGAAATTTCTAATCAGCTCAGCAGAGATCTTGAAAGCAGTGTTAAGAAGCACTATTTTGTAGGCTGTCTCCAAAAAGTACACTACCTTCAGGTGTTTATTAACATGGCTAAATATAACTGGTGAGTCAGGTTGGCAAGACATTTATATACTTTCTCTCTGGGTAGGATGCCAGGAAGAGAAAAGCTGAGCTTGAAAGTGATACGAACACATCTCTATTTCTGACATTCTGGTTATTCGAGTTGTCGTCTGTGCTCCCTAAGAGCCTGTTACTGTGGCATTTGATTTTTCTCAGATATTTTAACTGTTGAAGTCTTTCACTCTATTCTTAGTAAAGCTGTCTCAGCATTTAAAAAAATTATTTCATGCCCTCAAGGGGTAGGACTACAAATGACATCATCTGCTCCACACTCTCAACAGTGCTTTACACTTTGGGTAAGACACTGTCCACATCGGGAAATGTCAAATAGGCACAGGAGAAAAGAGCAAAGCAAAGCATGATTTGTCTTTACACAAGTGCTTTTGATACATGAACCCTGCAAAAGCCCCCAGGGAAATATTTCTTGTATATTTTTGATATCTCTTTAAAATCAGGAGACAAAATTGCTGATGCTTTTGTCCCAGTGGTATTTTCAGTTCAGTGAATTTGGAGTGTTTGGATTGACGAATATCATCTGTATAAAAAGGTTTCTGGTCTAAAACAGAAATGAATTCAGTCTTGACATGGTTTCATAATAGTATATATATATATATATATTTTTAAAGCCAGTCAAATTTAGCAGTGGGGGGGGGTGGTATACCAACTTTAGTGATACTAATGTTAATAAGTTCTGATAACCCACTGCCATCGGACCAGCCCATAATAGTATATTTTAAACCATCAACTACCATATTTAGAAATTAGAATTATATTTTATATGTAACCACTAGCTTTGTGTTTAATGGCATAGAATTTGCTTTGCTGTCAAAGTTTGTTATTCAGTTAGTTAATCAAGTAACCGTCTTCCTATCCCCTCAAATATATTGAGTTTTCATCTATCTCTGCTGTCTTCAGGTTATCTCTTTGCTGGTTTTAGGTATGTTGTTAGATATAATCTCCCTCCTTCATTCACTTGATCATTGTTTTTTCCTTTATTGGATGTGTTCTATGGACAGGAAACATTGCAGTGCAAAATTTACAGCCTGGTAGATCTGGTTTAAAATCATACCTCTTATGCTTCCAAGCTATATGGTTTTGTGCAAGTAACTCCTTTGAGTCTTATTTCTTCATTTAGGAAATAGAAGATTATAAATCTACTGCTGTTGAGGATTATTATAGATGAAAAATAATATGTGTCATGATTGTAGTGGTAGTTACAGTAAAAACTGATGCATTTACTGAATGCTAGGCACTGTGCTAAGTAATGCTCTGTTTCAGCTACAATACCTTATGAAGTACAACCCACTTTTATTGAACAGGAAATTCAGTCATAGTGGCAGCTAAGCTGAGAGAACCAGAATTTTTAACACAAGTTTGGTCCCAAAGTTGGCTTTTTAAACTGTACATTAGATTTTTAGTGGCAGTGTTGGTATTTTTGAGCTTTTGGTTCTTTGTGTTCACCTTTACGTGGTTCTTAGTGAATATAAAAGTTGGGATTCTTGGTATAAAATAGCTTGCTGAGGTGCAAGCTATGAAAGTAATTTTGAAGGTAATTTCAGCAATATAAATTAAGCTAGTATTAGAAAGCTTATTCTGTGAAGACCCAAACAAAAAACTATTTTAGGATTTGTGGACCAGTAATAGTTTGTCACAACTACTGAACTCTGCTGCTATAGTGAAAAAATATCAAACAACACCTAAGCAATTAGGCATAACTTAATTTCAGTAAAAGTTTATTAAAATAGTTGATGAGCTGTATTTGACCCAGAGGCTAGTTATACCAACCCTTGAATTAATAACAGATTACTTCTGTTGTTCTTGCTGTTGTCCAATTTTTATATATTTTTTAATCTAAACATTAATAAAGCTCTTACATTAGTGTATAGTGTCATATAATTAATCATTTTTAAATATACCATGTTTTATTCTCACAGAATTCTGGAAGTGTAAGAGAACCCTCAAACTTTTTTGTAATTTGATAGTGATTGTGTGTGTGTGTGTGTGTGTGTGTGTGTGTGTCTGCTTGCTTTGATCTAATAGTCTCAGGAACTTGCTGTTTGACTCAGTGGTGGTGGATATTTAATGAAAAACCAGGGGTAACATGACCTATAATGCATTCATTGATCTTTGGAATTTAACAACTACTTTTGTGATTTAACTGACCTCCGTGACCACTTCGCTCAATAAAACTGAAGATACTACATCTGCTTCAGAAGGGCTGTTACACAATCACGTAACATGCTATATACAAAAACATTTTGAAAATTTATACGAGTATTTCAAGAGGCAAGCTTTATTTTCATTTTATAGGAAAGGTAAATGAATAGAGACTCTAGAAACTTGGTCTTGCTGTAGAAAAATTCTTCACCACCACCAATATGCAGAGAAGTTACTTGAAGGAAAATATAAAATCTGCTGAAAACATTGAACTGTTACTTTTTAACTGAGAAGTTAGTATTAAGTAAAGTAGTAATTTAAATATATTTTGGAAAGAGTTTACAGAATCTATGTGTATTTTAATTTCTTCTACCCAGTCTCTTACTATTTTCTTGGCTGCAGCTAATGCAATAAATATGTAGCATTTTCCTTTCTTATTATTCCATTACCTTATCGATATCTTTGAAAATCATTTAGTTTTCACAAAAACAACTCTTTAGCTAGGCATGACAACACACACCTGTAATCCTAGCATTCAAGAGGAACTGAGACAGGAGCTCACTGAGACTTCAAAGCCAGCCTGGGCTACATGGTGAAACTGTCTCAAAAAAAAAAAAAACACCTTTTAGAGAATCTTCTTTTTTGAATTTTGGTGTTTTGGCTTTATTTGTAGGCATCTCAACCTGAGTGTGAGACCAAAACAGTTGTTGTCCTTAGTAAGAAATGGTGTCCCTGAAGCTCTTAGAGGAGAAGTCTGGCAGCTGCTAGCAGGTTGTCACAACAATGACCACCTGGTGGAAAAGTACCGCATTCTCATCACGAAGGTAAGGAGATGATTGCTCAGTTTCACCATTTATCCCTTTATCAATTTATAATGCAAGATCGTTGTGGCTGATTTCTATTAATTTTTCCAATAACTTAAATTATTTATGATAAGAATTGAACTATTAATAGTGGTAATATTTCTAACTCAAATGTGTTTTCTTCTTCTGGCACAAAAGAGAAAGCACAAATTTTCTTTCTTGAGTGGTTTTCTTTCAAAGTAAGGGATGTTGGCTAGCCCATTAGGTGTATATTGCCATTTTGCTCATAATTACATTTTTGTCAGGTCAGTTGTGTTGAAATGTGTAAAAACTGTTTTGTTTAACTCTTGTCACACTTCCTGGAAATGTGCTCCTGGTGGGGAAGGCCTAGTTCTGGTTTCTACAACTATAAGAAAATAATTTCATGATCCTAAACTGTATTCCTTTTTAGCTTATTCTTCTGAAGTGAAAAACCTTTGTTTTCATGATATTCCCTTCTTAATTCTTTAATTTCTTCAAAATTTCCTTATCCATACAAAGATTTTCCTTGTACATATAAAGATTAAGTTATAGTAATTATCTGCAAGGTTAGGTAATGTTTTGTCTTCTGTATTTTGTAGGCCCGTGTTCTAGGTTTTAGTTTTTGTTTTCCTTAAATTATTGAGGTGTTTATCTTTCAGAAACAGCTTCTCCAACAGCATACAAATCCAAAACCTAACTTCTGAAGGGATTGTTCAGAATTTTCAATAGTGTATGAAAATTTTACAATGCACCAAAAGTTGAAATGTTTTTGTATTTTTATTATTAGTACATGATTGTGGTACATAAAATGTTTTTTGTAGGGAGTTAAAACATGTACATAACACATCTTAATTCTTTTTTTCATGCTCTTTCCTTCTCCTGTCCCCCCTAATCTCTTGGTTCCCTTAAAATGTGATTTTTAAAAAATTTTATTAGTGGGGCTGGGGATTTAGCTCAGTGGCATAAGCACCTGCCTTGCAAGCAGGCGGTTGTGAGTTCAATCCCTGGTACCGATTAAAAAAAAAATCATTAGTACATGTTTGTATTACATGAAGCTTAAATTTCCCCTTGAGGTGAGAGTACATGTGCATAATACAGCTTTCTTTTAAACTCCTCTTTCTGTCTACCTACATGTCTCTGCTTGTGAGTGAGCATTCTCCATTTTTATTCATGTCAGTATTATTCTTAGCTCATGTTGATGACATACAGTTGTTGAGATTACAGGGTTCCTGTACATGGCGTAACTTAATTTTACTTGCTTCCCTTTTACCTTCTTGCTGTCCCCTCACCATTTCCTGGACCTCTTCTCATTTCCTAGAGATGTGTCCCATTGTTACCTGGTATCCATTTATTATGCTCTTTGTTTCTACTTTGTCTTACTCAAATGAGAGATGCCATAGGATGTATAAGCTTTTGTGTCTGATTTATTTCACTCAAATATTGTATTTCCCAGATGGGTCCATTTTCCTTTGAATGTCTCAGATTTATCCTTTTTAATAGCTGAATAGTGTTCTGTTATGTATAGATACATTTTCCTTATTCATTTGACTGTCGATGGCCATACCTGCTGTTCCCAGGATTTAGTTGGGGTTTTTGTTCTGTTTTGTTTTGTTTTTGAGACAAGATCTTGCTTTGTAGTTTAGGCTGACCCTGAAATCTCTTTGTAGTCAAGGCTGACCTCAAACACATGGATTACAGGCCTGTGTGCCACCATGCCCACCTATGGTTTAGCTATTATGAGTTGTGTTGCTATAAACTATAGGCTCGTACTGTTATAGTATATCTTTGGCCCTTTGGGGAAGATACCAAGAAGATAAAGAGCTGGATCATATGGAATTTTTAGGTTTTTTTTGTCTATTTCGTTTTTATCAGTACCGGGGATCGAACTCACGACTGCCTGCTTGCAAGGCAGGTACTTATGCCACTGAGCTAAATCCCCAGCCCCTCATATGGAATTTTTAATTTTAGTGTTTTGAAAGGTCTCCAGATTTCCAAAATGGTTGTACTAGTTGTACTACACAGTCCCACCAACAATGCAAGAGGATTCCATTTCATCACAGTCACACCAGCATTTGTTATTCTTTGACTTCTTGATGATTTCCATTCTTTCTGGTGTAAGATCAAATCTTTGTATTGGTTTAATTTGCATTTCTCTAAGACCAGAGATGCTGGGTATTTTCAAATATATTTGTTGGCTATTTGTACTTCTCCTAAGAGGTGTTTATTCATTTCATTTGCCTATTCTTGATTGGGTCTTTTATGTATAATTTTTTGAATACATTATATATTCTAGATATTCTAAGAATGGCCAGAACATGTTTTTTTCTATTTTGCAGGTTCTCTCTTCAGTCTACTGATTGTTTTGCTCATAGAAGAGTCTTAATTTGATATAATCCCATTTGTTACTATTATTTCTTGCACAATTGGGATTCTGTTTTACACCTGTGGCTTCAAATATTTTACCTATTTTGTTTTCCAGTAGGCTTAGTGCTTCCATTTTAATATTGAGCTCTTGATCCATTTTGATTTTATTGTAGTACATAGCAAGAGAGATGGATTCTTCTTCAGTCTTTTGCAAACAGATCCCCAGTTTTCCCAGCACCATTTACTGAATTGGCTATCTTTTAAAAAAATTTGTTTTAAACATTAAAATCTTAATAAGGTATGAATAATGCGTTAGTCAGCTTTCCTGTGTTGGGATGATAGCCAACACCCACAACTTAAAGGAGGAGAGGTTTCATTTGACTCAAGGTTTCAGAGAATTCCATTCATGGTTGGCTGACTCCTAGACAAAATGTCATGATGGAAGGATATGATCTAGAGTTCTTGGCAGCTGGGAAGCAGGGCAGCAGTTCCAGAAAGGAAGAGATGAAGGACCAGATATAGTACCCAAGATCACACTTCTGTGACCCATCCAGATATACCCAGAAGCATGCCTTCCTAATACCCTGGACAGCTCCAAAGCCAATTAAATTGATACAGTTATACCTGACCACCACAAATAAATTTTTTAAAACTGTCATCTAACACACACACACACACACACACACACACACACACACACACACAAAACACCTTGTTATGACTTATGTCTAGATATTCCCCCAAAGCCTCATGTAGTCATAGAGGGGACATTTCAGAGGTGGCTGGGTCTAGAGTGTGTGGTGCTGGGATCAAGGATGTGTGATTACTAAATCAGTCCACAGATTGGTTTAGCATAGCTCTGGCTAGGATTAAGGCTGTGTGAGTGCTACACCCACCCTAGTGAAGGTAGCTTGCATGCAATAAAAAGGACAAAAACAGGGCTAACATGCGCTTGTGTGCCTGCTTGCCATAGACTGTTTCTCCCCTGCAGTGTCCCTCTGCCATCCCACCCTGCCTTGGAGCCTGCTGACTATGGGCTAAAGTCTCACAAACTGTGAGCTAAATAAAACTATTCCTCCATTAAGTTTGGGTGTTGGTTATTTTGTCTCAGCAATGAGAACAGTAAGACATGCCTTTTAGGAGAACAGTATTTAAACTTGAGATAGGACTTTTACTCACGAGGACGTGACTTCTGTGTCCTCTGAATATTAGTGTTCCTTCACATCACTTTAATTCCAGACAATTTTTGTTTGTTTGTTTGTTTTCAGTGATAGTGTCTTGCTGTGTAGCCTTGGTTGGTCTTAAATCATAATCTCCCTAGTTCAGTCTCCAGGGCCCTGTAAACATGGTCTACCACACCTGACTGAAACTGATGTTTTTTGTTGAAGGAATATGCTAGTTCCCTGATTATGCTCATACACAATAATTGTTTAACCAGTATTTACTGAATGCATACTGCAGTCACAATGCTGGATCTAGAGAATTAAACACCTGAACTCTTAACTCATCTGATAGAATGTGTTTGAAAAAGCTCAACGGAAACCATCAAAAGAAGTGATAAATTCAGCCTGGAAAAAAAAGAGGAGACTTTTTCAGGAATATGACAGTCCTAGAAAAGAGCTTTGTAGGCTTGGAATACTGGGTAGTGTTATACTCTAGTATGAATGAAGGTATGAAGGAGTGAGGTTACATAGTATATGTAGTTAGCAGAGGTACACCTGCTGATTACCTTCTTTTGTTGGTAAAACATATTTTGAACTTATAACACTATCTTTTTAGGTCTGCTTTTAAAGTCCTTAAAATGTGTAGCTAAAACTGGTTTCTTGGGGCTGGGGATTTAGCTCAGCGACATAAGCGCCTGCCTTGTAAGTGTGTGGTCGTGAGTTCGATCTCTAGTACCAGTAAAAATACAAAAAAACAAAAAACAAAACTGGTTTCTTAAGAGTTCATGAAAGATCTTTGTTGAAGTTGTTCGTATAGAAATTTAAAGACATGAAGTATCTATGATAAATTGGAGTTTGTTTTCTTGGTTCTGTGAAAATGGTTTATAGAAAAATCTGATAATTACACAATATATAGAAGACTATTAACAAATTCTGATTTGATTAGCTATTTATATACACTGATGATAATGTGTACTTCATAGTTCACATTAAACTTTTATCATGGATTTAAGTAGAGCCTTGAAAGATTTTCTGTTCAGATTGATAGTTGACAATCAGAAAATACAAATCATCATAATATGTCCTTTTTTCCCCTGTAAACCATGATATTTGATATAAGTTGGTACTTTTCTTTGTATCTGCTTGGATGTAATCTGCATAGAAATGATAAATGACATTTTTTAACTTACTGTGAAAATATTTTGAAGAAGGGGAAACTACTTTAAAATTTTCTCGTTTATCTTTATAGTGAGCTAAAATTTCACAGGTAAACTTACAACCTTAAAATGTACAGCTCTGTAACATTTTACATATAAGTACACTGCTGTATCTACTTCCAGGAGCAAGGAATACACATCACTCCCTGAAGTCATTTTGGTCTACCTTTTGTCATAACCAGCCATTTTCCACTGCTGAAGTAATCTCTATATTTAACTTGTATCTTTTTAGATTAATTTTCAGTGTTCCTGAACTTCATTAAAATATAATTATATGGTCATACAGAATGGACTGACTTCTTTTGCTCATACATTTTTGGTGATGGATTGATACATCATTTTAGAAAATTATTAATTGCTGAGAATATTCCATTATATGAGTAAAATATGTATTTTAAAATCCATTGTGCAGTTACAGGTGTTTGCTTTCTATTCACCTTTAGCTATTACGAATAAAGCTGTTGTGGGCATTCTTGAAACAAAACCTTGGCAGGATTTGTACATATTATTTACATATGTGAACAATATTTCCTTTTTTTTTTTTGTCTTTTTCATTTTTATCGGTACCGGGGATCAAACTCACAACCGCCTGCTTGCAAGGCAGATGCTTATGCCGCTGAGCTAAACCCCAGCCCCTATGTGGACAATATTTACACATATATTCATATTTCTTTTTTTTTTTAATTTTATTTAAAAGGAAAAAGAGAAAAACAAAACAAAAAGCGGTGTAAGGGTACAAGTAATACAGAACTACAAAAAACAAAACAAAACAAAACAAAACAAAACTACAACATATTTCTAACTTTTAAAATTTACTCTGAATATGCTTTGCCAGATATGTGCATGTTTTGAAATTTATATGTGATATTAGGTTTTTGTTTTTTGCTTAACTTCTTTAAATGCTAAATTTAAAATAGAAAAGAATCACTTGATTCCAAACCCCTACTGAGTATCTTTTTTTTATCTTTTTCCTTTTTATCGGTACCGGGGATCGAACTCAGGACTGCCTATTTGCAAGGCAGGCGCTTATGCCGCTGAGCTAAACCTCCAGCTACTGCGTATCTTTTACCATCTCGCTATAATTGGCAAGCTTGTCTTGTGAGGGTGCATGCAGGACTTTTTCCTTATACCATTTTTCTCCTTTCAGTACTTGGGATTGAACCCAGGGCCTTCCATGTGCCAAGCACACAATACCACTAAGATACACTCCTGACTCAAATACCTTTTGTAACCCAAGGCCAAATGACCATTCAATAACATAAAATGTTTCACTTATTTTTAAACTTTTTTTTTCTGTACACAATGGAGTTAAAAGCACTCTTTTCCTTTTTTTTATTTTAGAGAAATACCGATAAAAATTTCAAAACAATATTGTAGGAGGTAGCAAACATATATTGTGTATTGTTATCTTCAAAGTAATTGCTCATATTACAACATGAGGCATGAAAAATTCATCAAATAATATAGGCACAAGCCTTTCTTTTCAATGAACTAACAGCAATAGTAGTATAACTATCTTAACTAGTTTATTTATTTATTTTTCCTTTTTCCCTTCCTTCTTTTCTCCTTTTCACCATCCTACTTTCTCTTTCCCTTTGAAAAACTGAAAATTGTCTAGCTTTTTCATTTTAGTAGGAATCTAGGAGGGAAATCATATAATAGTAATAATAACTATCTTTTTTGAATTCAGCATATGTCAGATGCTGTGCAAAGCACTATATAGTCATTACTTCTTTTATTCATTTTTGCAGTACTTTTTTTTTTTTTTTTTTTTTTGTCTTTTTCTTTTTTATCAGTACCGGGGATCGAACTCACAACCACACACTGGCAAGGCAGGCGCTTATGCTGCTGAGCTAAATCCCCAGGCCCTATTTTTGCAGTACTTAGTGATTACAATGATTATAGGAAGTTGGAACATATACATACATCTTACTTCTTCTTCTTTTTTTTATTCATTATCTTTCTAATCCTAGCAAAATCTTTGTGAGGTGGTTGGTATTGTTACCATTTTAGAAATGAAGAATTGACTCACTGAGGCTATAAACTTAGCTAGTTAGATGAACAGAGAGGCAGGTTTTGAACTTGGGACTGATTCCAAAGATGATTCTTTTCAATTACCCTGTTTGTTAAATATTTTCATAGAATCACATGAATGTGATTTTATACCATTGATTGTGCTTATTTTTAAATGTAGACTTTTATTTAACCATTTTCCTTCATTTTGTTTCTGGTGTAAAGCTTTTAAATAGCCTTTTACTAAATACTCCAAACATGTTTTAAATCTTTGCATTTTATGGAGTCGTAGGAACATGTTTGCTGTGTCAAAGGATAGTGTGTTTTTTTAAGTAGCTGTTTATTTTTTGTACTTGATTTACTTATTTCCAGTTTGCTTCTCTACAGGGCTATGGCAGTTCACTGTTCACTGTGGCAGCAAAGTACTGTGTCTGTTGGCTCTTATCCCAGCCAGTGTTATCACTGTATATACTTTTTGCTTTTGATGGATATAAGTGATGCTGGCATGTCCTTAGTTTGTGATTACTTGACTACCAAATGTGAGTGATTTTCTTTTTTTGTGAATTACCTCTTCATATTTTTTTGTACAGTTCTCCTATTTAAGAAGTCCATTTCTAAGCATTGTTTGTATGTTAGGTTTAATCCCTTGCATTTGTAGTATAATTTATGTAAACTGATTGAATTTTTTTTGGAGACAGTCTTGCTTTGTAGTTCAGGCTGTTCTTAAACCGACTATATAGTCTAGCCTGATCTAGAACTCACAACAGTCCTCTTGCCTCAGCCTCCCAGCTTCTGTGGTTACAGGAATGCACCACTATATCTGCCTATAAATACCATTTCAAAGTATAGCTTTCTTTAGGCTGTGTGGTTTTATGCCTTATAGAACATTTTCATTTTTTTATATAGAAAATTGTGTTGTATGTCTTTAATCCATCTGGCATTTATTTTTGGACACTGCATAAGATGGTGGTCCAATTTTATTTTCCTTTAGAAGAATAACTAACTACATTATTCATGTTTTCCTACTGAGTAAAGCTGCTGTCTTTCTCATATCATAAATCTCATATATACTAGGGTTGTTTTGTTACTGATGTTTGTGTATTGCTTTCCAAATATTGTTTTGATAAAAGAGGTTTTTAGTTATGTTCTAATATCTGGTAAAGCAGGTCTTTTCTAAGTGTTTCCTGTTACCTACTGTAAATGACTACTGTCAGGTTAATCTTCATAAAAACCTTAAAATCGTTTATCTAGTCTTACCACCACATCACCACCCTGAAGTTTTCATGGGGATTCTAATTGGAAATGCATTTAATTTATATATCAATTGAGGGTGTAAGTTCAAAATTGTTATTACATTTTCACGTCTAAGAATATAAGGTGACCCATTTCAATCTTATTTTCTGTCTGTTAAAGATTTACTATTAAGCCTTCATGTTGGCCTTATGCCCTTCTGTATGATTTGTTACTAAGAATTGTCTTAAGAGTATTGTAGCAAACAGACTTTTCTCCCAATTGCCACAACAAAGAAAACTATTAAATTTTCTGTCCACCCAACTCTTGAGATTTATCTTTCCTCATTTGTGGAAGTTAAGCCTCTGGATTTGTTGAAAGAATAATAAATATAATTGAAGTCCTTTTTTTTCTTTTTTTGTTACATTTTCTTTTTCTTTCTGCTTTCCTTTTTAGTTCTATCATTTTGTTTTTTTTATATTTTAATCTATTTTACTCTATCAAGTGGAATTATATATGTTGTAGTTTTTGCAGGTCAGAAAGCATTTAACCAGAAATGAAATGGTTAAATACTGGCATTCACATATGGTTTATCCATTTATATTCTTGTATCTGTAAGAATTTTGTAACTGGTTTTATGAGTTAGAGTAAGTACCAGAGTCTGGCTAAAGGATCCTTGCTTTCATGGCATAAGAACAAGTAGAACTGAGACCCTTAAAGTAGGCAAGTTAAAATCTAGCATCCTAACTTCTTGCCTAACCAGAATGAGAAGATAACTTGGAGCCAGATTTTTTATAAACTTTACTGCCAGTAGGCTGTTTTTGTTTTCCTCTACCTGAATATAAAATTAATACATAGAAGTTATGAAATTTAAAAAAATAAGTGCTATGAAGTAGATTTTTTTTTAAGAAGCCACTTATTCCACCAGCCAGTAAGTAGAGTTGATTTCTTTATATATATTGCCTTTCAGTAACAAATACACAGAAATGAGTACTCTACTCCACCACCCCAAGGAATATATAAGGAAGAAATATTTTGTGATGATATAGACTTGCTATCTACTCAAAGTCACTAATAATTTGTCTGTTTGGAAAATGTTCTTCTTTAATTAAAAACAAAACATTTAACTCGATTGATAGTTCTTTATGAAGTTAGCAGCAGCCCTTTTTTGAAGCTTTCTAAGTGAATATTTTGGTTGTATTAAAGTGGTTTTTACTTAACAGAAAAAAATTGAATTGTTAGTGTACTAATGATAGCAGTGTAACAGCTTGCAGTTTTGATGTTTTAATTAATTATTAAATGTTATCAGGCAATGCAATATCTCTTTTTATCCCTGTAACTAGTTTTATATGTGAGAAATGTGAGATATATAGAGAATAAATTGCATGCCCAGATTTATAAGTAGTAGAGAATCCTGGACTCCTTATTTTGGCAAATAGTTATTCCTTTTATTGAAAAACAGTAATTCTCAGAAACTATTCTATTCTTCACTCAGTAGTTATTGAGTACTGAATGAGAGGCTTCGGAAATAAAATTTATGAGAAGTATTTAGAATAGTGAGTTAGCTGGATCTGCTCGAGGGCACAATGGTTGGGGGAAACAATATAGGAAGATCAGATTGGAACAGTGAAGTTCCATAATGGAGGTGTGATTTTATATATTTTATCTGGCAGAAATGCTTAAGTAGGAAAATGAATTAGGAGCTCAAATGGTAATTAATGAGGCCTAAGCTAAAAATGAAATGAGGAAATGAATTTTGAAAAGTAGTATAGAAATAGTCACAGGACTTGGTGAACAAAACAGTTTATTAAAGGAGAGAGTGTCAAGGCGATTTTTTGCTAGTATCTGGAAAAAGTATTGGGGAAAAAATGAGAGGTTTATTTGTCATAAAAATGTTATTTTAATTTAAACATATTCTATGTAAAATCTACAAGGCATTCAGGTGAAAGACATGAGACTGACAAACAAATTGTAAATAAAGAAAGAGCACAGGAGTGAACTCAAGACCGGGGACCTAGACAGAGCAGTTACTTATGAAGAAGCAATAATTGATGCCTTGTGGTCGGTCAGTCCTTCTTGGCAGGTACCTTCGCTGCCTTGCATATGTGTGTATCAAGGTATCTGAATAATGCATGGCAGCGCTGAATTCTGAGAGCTGTTGTGTGGCCTCATCCTGTGCAGTCATAATAAGAAAGGGATCTTGAGGATGCAGAGAAGCCCAGCCTCAAGCAGTGCTAGCAATTGGTGTGAAAACACTGGCTCTCTAGAAAGGCTATTTTATTTGTATGATAGAAAATAAAGTTGTATGCACCTCAGGTGCTTGGTGTTGGTAAGCCTTTTATGCACAGTCTTTGTTTCCCTCCCAGTGAAGGGAGAGAGTGAAGTAGGGAATATTATCCTTCTTTTTTAATATGTGAAGACACTGAGGCAAAGAGAGGTTGATAGTAGAACAAAGATTTGAACCACTTGATTGTTTCTTTGATGTTGTTGGTGTTTTTACTTTGCCACATTTTGGCATGTTTTCTAGTACGAGTCAAATACTGCTATCAAACGTATGTCCCAACACTTTTTAAGTGTGTTGTTTCATGTAACTAGCATGGTGTCTCTGATTGAAAATACAACTCATTGAATTTTGATGATGAGTAGAATTTTGTATGCAACAAGAAAATGTGTATAAATGAGTAAAAGAAAAGTTATGTCACCTAATATATGCCTTCACTTATGTGTGCAGACCTGGAATGCTTCCAGTGCCTTCTTTTTTTTTATTCTGCTGGCCATGTGGAACTTTATTTAGATTTAGAAAGATGAATTGAAAGTTCATAAATAGGTGGAAGAAAAGACTAAAATAACACCATTCCCACAGGACTTTACTCCAGTTTATCTGAAAACTGTCATCTATTACATTACCAGAAAAACCACAGCGTAATTCCAGTTTGCATTGTTTTAAGTAGGCAGAGATAAAATTGTGTATGCTCAGATACCAAAAAATCTAATGCAAATCCGTGATTGTTGGCCATGTCATCTTGGAGGAACAGATAAAAGTTTTTTTACTATAAAAAAAAGAAATGCTTGCATTTAGTTTTCCATCTTAGTATATTTGTGTAGTGCTTCTTGGCACGGTAGAAGCAAGAAATGATATCTCAGAACTGTAGGTTAATATCAGATACAGAAGCACTAATTTCTGTGTGTACCCTGTTTTTGCAAAATCAAGTTGGACAATGTTTATTCTTTTCTTGAAAAAACTGATTTTAAAGTCTCTTTATTTAGTGATTTATGAGAGAAAAAATTACTATTGAATAGTTAGCCTTATAACTCGAACTTCTTTTGTGGCTGAACTGTGATTTCTCGCCATGTACTGTTAACACACTTCCTTTCTTTAATATTGTTCTTTGTTCTTTGGGAAATTACTATGAGAAAATAGAAATTTCCCTTCACTGTTGGCCCTCTGACAATATGTTTCAGTCTAATTCCTGACTCTGCCTGGTTACTACCATTGTGCTTGTCTAGTCTAAATTCTCTTTATCTGTTTGAGAGGGTGATTCCAGACAGACAAGGAAGCAGCTTTCAAATGCTTCACTTCAGGCATGTTAAGTCGTCGCCCCATTTAGCAAGTGATAATCAAAATCGGGGAGCACCTCTTGGGTGATGAATTCTAATGAGTGGCTAAAGATGCCAGAGTGTGCGCACACATGCAGTTTCTTTCCCCTCCCCTTTTCTTCCTTTTCCCAAGGCCCCTCTTCTCCCTCTTTCCCCTCCTACTCGTTTATCCCCTCCCTCTGTGTCTCAGTTCTGCAGTACACGGGACTGAACACATTCCTGCATTGCAAGGCTTTCTGTTAAGGGTGTACTGTGGCTTTTGTTTGGATTGCAGCATGCAGAATTGCAGGTAACACTATGAAATTGAGCTAAACAGATAAATTCTATTAAAATGTTCTCAGAGGTGAAATATTACATCAGATTTAATATAGAACATAAATTATCTCGAGTTATTTTATTAGTGGTAATATATAAAGTGTTTCAGAATTGCTGTAAGATTGCTTTTCTCCCCTAAAAGGCTCAAAGAAAAGAAAATGGGGGTCGATAGATCTGACTGTGATTGCTTTTGTTTGGTGTTGTTCTTGAAAGCTTGGTGTTGTTCCTTCTCAGTAAAGGACCAGTTATGTGGGGCATTGTGGTACCAGCAGGGGTGGAATGGGAGGGCTGAAACCAGCTGGAGGTAGCTAAGTTCTTTGATTAGGGCATTGAATGCAAAATGTAAAATGCTCTTTCCTTTTCTTCTATCAGCTGTTCAGAGGAGACTCATTACAACTCCTGCTGAAGTTCTAATCTTCCTCCCTTCTGCCCCTTCCCCTACTCTCACTTGGCCTGAAGACACTGTTCCCAGAGTTTACCTTATTCCCCTGGTGCTATGTGTATGGTGAACCTGGCACTATGGCCGCATCTGGGACTGGCCAGACAGCTGCTGTTGGCTCTCCCTATTCCAAGAAGGATTTAAAGGGGAATTGCACTGCAGGCAATGCACCAGAGCAGCAGCATCAGGAGCCTGGGGACTAAGGCTCCTCTGACATTATTACACATATGCAAAGCTGACCGCTTTGACAGCAGCTGCTCCTTTGAATGATAGCAGCAGCCAAGCGGCAGCATGAAGTAAGAGATCACTCCTGAGCGAGCTCAAGATGAACTCCACCTTCGATGGTAATCAGAGCAGCCACCCTTTTTGTCTCTTGGCATTTGGCTACCCGGAAACTGTCAGTTTTTGCCTTTTGGAAGTGCTGATTATTGTCTTTCTAACTGTATTAATTATTATTGGCAACATCGTTGTGATTTTTGTATTTCACTGTGCACCTTTGTTGAATCATCACACCACGAGTTATTTTATCCAGACAATGGCATATGCTGACCTCTTAGTTGGGGTAAGCTGCCTAGTCCCTTCTTTATCACTCCTCCACTACCCTCTTCCAATAGAAGAGTCTTTGACTTGTCAGATATTTGGTTTTGTAGTATCAGTTCTGAAGAGTGTCTCCATGGCCTCTCTGGCATGTATCAGCATTGATAGATACATTGCCATCACTAAACCTTTAACTTATAATAGCCTGGTTACACCCTGGAGACTTCGCCTGTGCATTTTCCTGATTTGGCTATACTCCACCCTGGTCTTCCTGCCTTCCTTTTTCCACTGGGGCAAACCTGGATATCACGGAGATGTGTTTCAATGGTGTGCAGAGTCCTGGCATACCGACCCCTATTTCACCTTGTTCATCGTGATGATGCTATATGCCCCAGCAGCCTTCATTGTCTGCTTCACATATTTCAACATCTTCCGCATCTGCCAACAGCACACAAAGGAGATCAGCGAAAGGCAAGCCCGCTTCAGCAGCCAGAGTGGGGAGACTGGGGAAGTACAGGCGTGTCCCGATAAACGTTATGCCATGGTCCTGTTTCGTATCACTAGTGTGTTTTATATCCTCTGGTTGCCGTATATCATCTACTTCTTGTTGGAGAGTTCCACTGACCACAGCAACCGCTTTGCGTCCTTCCTAACCACCTGGCTTGCAATTAGTAACAGTTTTTGCAACTGTGTCATTTACAGTCTTTCCAATAGTGTCTTCCAAAGGGGACTAAAGGGCCTCTCAGGGGCCGTGTGTACTTCTTGTGTGAGTCAGACTGCAGCCAAGGATCCTTATACAGTTAGAAACAAAGGCCCTCTTAATGGATGACATCCCTGAAGCAGCTCAGATTCCTGATCATTCTGTGTTCGGGGAGTTTTTGGCTGTTGCTGTTCTTCCCTTTTTATCTCTTTGTATTCCTAGTTTGCTAGGAGATCTGGGACAGAATAATTTGACTGTAAAGCAGTAGCAAACAAATGGTCTATCCAAACCGCCTTCTAAGTTTGATTTTCTAAACGTGATTTGAATCAGAAGAATCAGGATCAAGAAGAAAAATTGCTCGTTTCCAATTTTTGAAATGTCATGGAAATGACTACACTTCTCAGATTTGAAAGGAATAAAGCCATGTTTAACACCTCTCCAGCTGGCATGATGGAACCTGGGTGTGAAAAGCGTCATTTTTAAAAGTTATTTTCTTGTCCTTTTTCTAGATTCTTTCCAACTTTTTGGACTTCATGTGCAATTGGTGTCTTTAACAGGCAATATTAAGTATACTGATGAATTAACAGGATTTTTATTTTGTGTCAGTATGTAACTACACTGCAAGTTTCAGCACTAATTTAGATAGCCAGTGTTTTGGGTTGTATTCTCTTCAGAGAACTCTCAGTAAAGTGAATAATATGAACAGTTAATATTACTTTTAGAATCTTGCAATAAACCACGGTGCAAAAATGCAGACAATTTACACAGTTTGTGAAAACTGAGTTACTCTGTACAGTGCTTCACAGAGCTCTGAAGATATGTGTGCTTAGAAGTCATTGTATTGCAGTATTTCAGCTCTTGGCTTTGTTTGTGTATATTGAGAATATTTGAATTGAATTAAAGTTTTTTCTAATAGCAAAATGTATTTAAATAAATTAAAAATAAATATTAGGCTTACAGTTTATAATGATGGTACATAAAATGTGACATGGGGTTTTTTTTGTTTGTTTTCTTTATAGTAGTAACATGTAAATATGACTAGTGTTTTTTATTCCTTTTAGAATTCTCATTCTTTTAAGGACCTTTTCAAACTCTGTTCTGACAGTTTTGAAATATTTGAACATTAGGAAGAAGGGGATTCTGAGTAACTGAATCAGAAAATGTACCATTGACATAACTTTGCAGAAGAGTATGTTCTTAGTATATGCGAGATCCTGGATTATTTCCCCAGCACCAGGAAAATACGCATCTGCAATACTAAATCAACTCCCTTTAAAACAGAGGAAGTTAATTAAGATGTTTTCTTTGTGGGTAAATAGCATCAACTAATATAGTAGCAACAAACTCACTGTGAAAGGCGTTTTTTCAGCTAATGTTGAGGAATCCACTCTGAAGGGAGAAAGAGAAGTTCTAATTCATTGAAATCGTTTTTACTGCTATTCTCTTTGTGGAAAAAACAATCTTTATTTTCCTTTCCAAAGTGCTAGCATATTGTATAGAATTTTATAATTGTTCTAGTGTTTTTATTAGAGTGGTGTATGTTTGTATGTAGTGTTGTGTTTTTTCTTAAAAGTGACTATCTTTAAAGCAAGAAGTTTATTTTTCTGAAAGGAGAGAAGGATTTCTGGCAGTTCTGCTCATGAAAATATTGTTCAGCTGATTCTACTTTTGAGCTGATTTTAGTGTTTAGTGATCTTCGGGTGACTTATTCAGTGTCTGCCTTGGTCTAGATATTGAAATCTGAATGCAGAGTGATGGTCAGTGAAATGGAAGATGGTAGAAACCAAAGGGATATGTATTAAAGTAGATTTCTCAGTCCAAGAAAGGACATGAATATTTATAAAGCAGGCAGTTATGTTTGGGTTTTCTATCCTTATGTTAAAAACCTCTTCCCCCTTTTAAATAAAGAGCAATGTTTTGATACTAGGTTATAGACATTAATTTGATTTTTAAATCATAAGATATCTTCTATTTAAATTTTTTAAGTGTTTAAGTATTATATAAATGTGTAAACTTCAGATTCTTGATCCTCCCAAAATCTTGTCTTGTTCTTTATATTAGGTCTTAGCAAATTGGATTTTAAGCTATTTCAAAATTTAGAATTCATACTGTAGTTGCATGTTATGTTAGAAATGACTTTGTTAGCCAGGTGTGGTACCACACACCTGTAAAACCAGCACTTGGGAGGCTGAGGCAAGAGAATCATTGCAAATTGGAGACCAGCCTGGGCTACACAGTGAGCTGAAGACCAGCCTGAACTGTATAGGGAGACCCTGTCTCAAAAAGACCCTCCCTGCAAAAAAGAAAAAGAAAGAAAGAAATAGCTTTGTTTTTTTTTTTTTTTTTTTTAATTTTATTTAAGGAGAAAAGAAAAAAAAAAAGCAGGGAAAGGGTACAAGTTATACAGATTTACAGAAAAAAAAATGAACAGTAGGAAATCACTAGTTAATGGATTACATATTGTCATCTTAGAAATAATTGTTCAAGTCACAAAATTAAAGCGTGTAAAGTGGACATTCCATCAATGATACTGCAAACAGTTCTGTTCATTGATCCAATAAAACTCTGTGATATCATTTTCTATCTTATACATTTAAATATACATGCAGTTATATAGTTTGGAGCACTTTCTTTTCCTCTCTTTTGTACCATGACTATTACACATTTTGGGTTTCATTGCTCCCACGGTTCTTATTACTTTTTTGGAAGAGAGTAAAACCAAATGTGACATAACAGAACAGAATCGGTCAAGTCAAAAGGGTGGACATAATAGATAATGTAAAAACATAATACAAGGTGATCAACAATGGTTACCATAATGCCTCCCGCTATCTCTAATAGAATTGCCTATATCGTTAGTTATAATACAATTGAACAAAACAGTAAAGAATAAAACCGACAAAACCAAAACATTGGAGACATTGTAGGTCTTCAAAAGTAGATAAAAGTCAACAAGAATGGGCGTCATAATGAATCTCATTATCTTCACAGCTGATGCCTAAACTTTCGAACCTGATACTATCCAGAAAAACAGAATAGGGGAACATCAGTTAAAAACCAGATGGTGAGAGTAATACAGGGCTTTAAATCAAGGTAATAAAAAGTCAAAGTGGGTTACTATAATATATCCTGCTATTTTTTTCCTTTAATTAAAAGGATAAAGATAAAAAAGTAAATAATGGAGTGGAGATTGAGATAAAAGAGGGCATAACAACGAAACAGCGCAGATCAAAACATAACCATTTAAGCAGAATAGTGTTTCACCACCAGATAATCCTAACCTAAAAGTAGTTACCATATTGTCTCTTTCTTTGAAATCCTTGAGTACAACTTCGTATACTGTAGCATTAAGTATATCAAAACAATGTAAAACCATTCAAGAGAATGACAGCATTACAGAGTATTTAGAATCGACTAACAGAAAATGAACAATGGTTTCTGTATAATCTCCTTGTCTTTAAAAAGTTTTTGCTTATACTATCGTACATAATAAAATCCAATAAGATACAGCCTAGAAATAGCTTTGTTGAATTGCCATTTCAAGTGGAAAATCTATTTTGGTTGTATTCTGAAAAATAGTCTATGGTACAGATCCAAAACAAAATAAAATTTACCCTTTTCATATATTTTATAGAATGTAACCTGTTCAGACTTGCAATTTGCTAATGAATTTTTAGTTCAGCAAATACAGCAATCTTAAAGACTTGATTTTTATAGAAAAATCCAATCTTAAATCAGTAAGTTGGGGCTGGAGATTTAGCTCAGTGACATAAGTACCTGCCTTGCAAGCAGGCAGTCGTGAGTTCGATCCCTGGTACCAATTAAAAAAAAAAATCAATAAGTTTACTTCCTCTTTTTTTTTTGTTTGTTTTGTTTTGTTTTGTTTTGCAACTGGATCTCGCCCTATAGTCCAGGCTGTCCTTGAATTTATGAGCCTTTTGACTCAGCCTCTCAAATGCAGAATTACAGGGATGCTATCACTGCTGGGTAAGTTTTGGTTTCTGTGTTTTTGTTTTTGAGAGAGTCTTGCTATAGTTCAGGCTAGTTTTAAACTTAGCATGTAGCCCAGGCTGGCCTGGAACTCTTGTCAGTCCTCCTGCCTCAGCTTCTCCTCAAGTGCAGGGACTGCAGGTGTGAACAGACATTCCTGACAAAATTTTACTTTCTTAAAAATCACACGATTCCACTTTTAAAAAGAATTTCACCCTTTTAATTTTTTCCTCCAATAGAATTCCAGCTTATGAGGGCAAAACAAAATCTCTTTTTAAATTTTCTGGTAATGGCTATCTAATCAAGCTGTTTTTTTAATGACTGCAGAGACAAGAAGATCGTTCACTAATGGACTTTTAATTCTTTTTCCTAGTATTAAGTTAGACCATTATTAGAAGCATTTCATTTTCTACATTAGAATCTCTGTTATGATTCAGCCCACTTAAAAATATAACCTAAGTAGATATAATAATTTGAAAGAGAAATAAAGGCTCCCCTCCCCCACTAACAATTGCTTATTAATATCAGGTATCTTTCTAGTTTGTCTTATCTTCCTTATACTATGTAAGTTCTTACAGGAACCAGTTCTTTTATTCTCACATTCATTGTGCATACTGTCTTTTTATTTTATTTTGTTGTGTGTGTATGTGTTGAGTGAAAAGGGACAACAGGGACAGTCATGCAACTTCAAATCTTTATACAATCTTCTCCATAATATGTTTGGAGAGTTTGTGTTTAATCTGTTTATCCTGACTCATTTAATGAACATTTGATGACGTTTGGATTAAATACCAAGCTGATTAGTTTAGAATGAGAAAGTATATATTTAAACACAAATACCTTGGATAGTTCATCTCGCTTTATATGGTGTGTGGCTGGTATTACAAGAAACATAAAAAATACTTTTAGAGACTGTATTGAAATTGTTTCATAGTAAATTTTATTTTATTTTTTGGTACTGGGGATCGAACTCACAACCTAGTGCTTGCGAGGCAGGCGTTTATGCCACTGAGCTAATCCTCAGCTCCTTCTTAGTAAATTTTAAAATAAGATTATGCTAGTTATTTTCTTCGTAAAGATGTGTTTTTATCGTCCTAGAAGCAGAAAAGCATGACAAGTAGACTACTGTCCCATTTTAGTGAAAACAATATTCTTATGCCAAAATAAATAATTTTTCATGGACCTGCTAACTGTTATGCAGAATTCTGTTTTAGAAAAAATAAGATATACTCCTGGATAAGTTCTCTTTGAACCTTTCATTATGGCTTTTCCTTTGTACTTGAATAATTATGTCAGTATTTTAAGAATTGGGAAAACTTGAATCTTTATACAACGAGTGCACTGTCCATCTGTTTGAACTTGAAAACAAAGTGACAGGGTTGTACAGTCTACAAAATTATGGAATCTTGTTGGAGAGAGTTTCCTCAGCTTTTCAGGTTTATTTGAAAAAAATTACAGTGGATTTGTAGGAAACACCTTAATTTTCACTGGTTGTGTTTATGTATCATAATAGATTTGTGAAATCAATTATTGGCAAACCAGAATTTATTGTCATGAGCAGCTTTGGGGAAGTTTAAGGATAGAGTAATGGCACTGTGCAGTTTTTTAAAAATCCTTATAGGTTACTTAATAAGTTTATCTTTGAATAATTTTTCCATTTCAGGTTGAAGAACTAAATATAAGTGTTTATATTAAACATATATATTATTAATGTTATTTTGCAGATCTTAGAAATCTCATAGATATTTCTTATGGTTATGACTCATTTGGCTTTTATTTCAGTTTGAACTTCATGGTGTGAAATGAACTTTAGGCTGAGAATTTTAAAATGTAGGTTTCTGTTAGTCATAGTTTACTAAATTAAGGCTAGTCACTTCTTTAGCACTTAATTTCTTTTAGAAAAGGGGCTATGTTTGTTTTTCACATCCTATAGATTGCTTTCCATTTCATAATGAATGTGAAAGTACTTTGAACATTGTAAAGTGCTTTTCAAATAAAAGTAAATACTGTTATTTGTATTTGTCATGCGTTTGCATATAAAAACTATATAGCATGATATGTTTCTCCATCCATATTAAATTCTTCAAAGCCCAGGGCTCGGCCACTGCTCCCTGCTAGTTAGCAACCCAGACCTGAAAAAAGACAAAATCAAATCCTCTCTTTCTAAAGTGATAATAGAATAATGTCAGCATTTGACTGCCTTCATCTACTTCTCTAAAAGCTCTCCTGGGTAGGAATCAGTATCTCTTGATATCTTTATCTCCTATATATAGGACCTGACTCAGAGCAAAAGATTTAGTAAATTTTACAGAATGAATAAATGAACGAATGACTCTTTGTAACTGTTATTTTGAGTCGCCAACCTCCTTCCTTTCAGTTAGAGATCATGATAGTTTGGTATGGTGGCACACTCCTGTAATTCCATCATCTTGGGAGGCTCAGGACAGAACATTACAAATTCAAGTGTAGCCTGAGCAACTCAGTGACTTAGCAAGACTGTTCCAAAAGAAAAAGTCTGGGGTTATGGCTCAGTGTGAGCTCTGGGTTCAATCCCCAGTACCACAAAACAAAATCATAAGGTTTCAAAAGGTAGCCCTAAAGCCCATAAGCAGCTCTTCATTTAGCCTAGTCTCTTCTAAATGATATCTCTTTTTGCTACCAAGAAAATATTGGCATGTGAATGCTCTAAATGTTAGATAACTTTACTCTTGAGGCTATCCTGTAGTCTCATCACAGGGAGCTTCAGAGAAATATGGCTCACACTTTCTTCACCTTGAATCCAAATAAAATGAGTTCTGAAGGAAAAGGTGCTATAGAAAGCCTTGGTTTTCACCAAACTGAGTTCTATGTAGTTTTTTTTTCTCCCATTTAGTATTTACCAATTTTCTAGCTCTTTTAGAGAAAGTTTAAGAAGCCATTGAGAAGCACTTATCTGTACGTTCTGCTGTGTGCCAGGTGGTAAATTTGGTCTCTGAGGGGTCTGAAGAAGTTTTATTCCTTTCTTACAGAAATGTATAGTCTCTAAATGTTTTATATGGAAACCTTCTCTGATTATCTATCTTAGAAGAAAGCTGCAAAAGAGTGACTTTACTTGGAGGAATTTACCAGGGCCTCCTGAGGGACACTCAGTAGGTCCATTTCTTAGGGTGAGTTCACATGATGCCAGTATATAAAATCATAATGCCACTTTATTATTTTAAGATAAGAAATAAATACTGGCAATAGGGAATAGAGCTTCCCTGTTGGTAGATCTTTGTGGAAAGTCAAACCACATTGAGTTTGCTTGCTGAAGGCAAAGTCTCAGAACATTGCTTAGTAATATTAGCATTACTACTGTCGCACTAAGAAAGTTGAGTAGTTCCCACAATTAAGAGGGCCTTGTCATTCAGATCATAATAAAACTAGAAATTACTTCTCCTTCAACTGTTGATCAACCTGCTTTCTAATTGATATATTATTGCTTTAGTTCAATTAACTTCTTCTGTCACTTGTCTATTAGATTCTTTGCGAGTCTAACAAGCTGCAACTCATTCTTTGTCTTTAAGGTGGTTTTATATACCTGGTCTTACATTTTATCAAAAAACATATTGGTTTTATTTTTATGATTGTTCAAAAGCCTTATTTCTTTGTTATTTTAGGGAAGCAACATATTGTGGTTTTTATATAGTGCCTCCTCAGCAAAGCAAGATACTTGAAAATGCCTATCAAAATAATAGTATCAGTCAGATAATTAGGGTTGATACATGAAGTATATAGATTATTTAGCAAAGGACACAAAGGAGGACAGTTGATTGGAAAAGACCTTAGAAATGATTTGGTCTGATTCTGTCATTGTACAGATGGAAAAGCAGCTTAACAGCCACACACTTACCTATTTGTGGTAATAGCCAGATAACTTCTTACCATTTTCTAGTGTACCATGTTATTTCTGTAGGGGTGTTTAAATTTGGCTTAACTCAGTTCTGATGAATGCACAGGTATATATGTATATGCTTTTAGGCATAGCACACATAAACAACAGTATGAATGTTAACTGAGGCTCTATGTTTCAGGAGAATTATGTAAACTTTTTTTAGTCTTTCCAGTATTGTGTAACGTAGTGACTATTACTGATACCATTATGTAGTCAAAGAAACTGACATTTAAAGTCACACAGCTTATAGGGGGAAGATCTGAAATTGAAACCATATCTAATTCCAAAACCTACATTCTTACCTTGTTTCAGAAGTTAAGAAACTTCTAAAGTTACACAAATAATAAATGGGTGTTGTGATTTACACCCAGTTCTTTGACTCCAGCTATGTATGTTACTCTTAGACTTGAAAATACATATAGACTTCTGCTAACTATAGCTGATTGAATTTGCGTGTTTATTTCTGTTAACTCCCCCACAAAGAACAGTAAAGGTATGACACGGCACATGACTGATGCCAACAGAAGACAAGTGGTAACTGACTCAGTACAATCCACATAGCTGAATCCTAAAGTCAGAGATAGGGGAGGGGCTAAAAAGCCAGTTTACTTTTCCATAGAATGCAGTAACTATTTGAATATTTTAAGTGTAGGGTAGAATGAAGATGAAGACAGAACAACTGATAGAAAATTTAAATAAGAATCATTATACAAAACCACTTCCACTCCACCTTGACCTTCTTTGCAAGGTGGCCCAAATAAGCACTTAGGATAGTTTTTTTTTACCATCCCAGCATAAGGGGGAGAGGGTAAGTGCCAAACACAGATGAAAATGGGACTGAGCTATCTTGCTCAAAGCATGAGTGCCAGGGTTAGGTCTTTATATTAGATAATTATTCTCATCTCACTGCACTCCGAGAATGCTCTCAGCCAGCTGTCAGTTTAAGCAGATGAGAGGGGACCAATATTCTGGTGAGTGACAGATGTGTTCCCTCCTGATCATCTTAAGGTGGTGATCTCGCTCAGTTTCTTAGCCTGGCCTTGAATTTGCAGTCTTGCCTCAGTCTCCTGAGCAGCTGGGACTGTATCACCGTGTCAAGGTGTCAGGCTGCCTCTCTTAATATTGACAGCCAACCAGAGATCACTGGACTTGAGAATAGCGGCCCACACAAAGTACAGAGTCAACAATAGGAAACTAAAGGAAGCAGAAATCCTCGTTCCCAAGAAACCCAGCTGTAACTGATACTCCCAGAGATTTTGCATCCATTTGAGGAGAACAGTATGACACAAAAAAAGGAAAAGGAGGAGAACAAGAAAGAACTCTTCCAATGTAAGGTATACTAAGATATTTTAAAAAATCAGGAGAAAAGCTGGAAGAGTTGACATAGGCCAGTTAGTGAACAAAAGTAAGGAAAAGAGATTTTTTTTTTAAAAAGTAGTTGAAAAGGAAATTAGAGGCTCAGTTTAGGAGGAGCTAGCATTTGGCTGCCAGAATTCTCAACAATAGAATAAAGAAAAAGGAACAAATGCTCAGATGTACATGAACAATTTCCAGAACCAAAGAATATATATTTCCATTAAGGCAAAGCCAAGTTCAGTGTAAAAGATTGCTATGGTCACAAGTTACAAACTTTCACAGTACCACGTTTTAAGAAAAATTCTGTAACTTCTTGATCTGAGGAAAGAAGGAAAGAGTAGAAACATACTTAGTATAAGGACCTGAATGGTCTTATAATTTCTGCTACATTGAGGCTAGAAGATAATAGTGAATAACCTAAAAACGGCAAAGTGATTTCTAATCCAGAATTTTATGCCTAAACTGTCATTCAAATTCAAGGATAAAATAAACCCAATTTGAGATTTTCAGGACTTCAAAATATTCATCTTCCTGACCTGCTTTCTCACTGTACTAGATGATAATATGTTTCCCCTAAAGGAAACAGGAAACCCAGAAAGAGAGATATACAGAAGGCAAGAAACGGGGTCTCCAGAGTAAGGAAGTGGCAAGGACGAAGCTCTCGGGATGGGAAAGCCTTGGGAACACATCTGTGCAGGAGACCTAGAGAGTGCAGGTGGCCTGAATGGAGGACACTAGCAGGACTCTGGGAAATGTAAATGGGATTTTGACCAGAAGAGAGATTTTTGGTCAGATTTCTTTTTCTTCCTCATATTAGGCATTGCACTCAGCATCTCTTGTATACTAGGTAAACATCTACCACTGAGCTGCATCCCCAGCTGTATAGTTCTGTTAGATTTTTAAGGGAAGTACATGTATACATATAGTCATAGTAGGAACAGACACATACAAAATAGAAAAGAAAAAATGGGCAATTCATAACTTTAGAAAAATAGAAAATTACAGAAGAAAGTGGAAATCCATACTCTGATTCATTTATGAATGGTATTGAGTTAAACAAAAATGGTAACAAAACCATGTGAGAGGAGAAGTGAAAGAAGTATGTATGGAGATTCAAGAGTGGTGTACGAGAACTACACTATCACCTTCCATACCTTTATATCCAAAGATAATGTGTGAAGAGGAGGGGGAAAAACCAGAAAACAGCAATGTAAGCATTTTACCCAAAAATAGAAAAAAACAAATGGCCAAAAAAAGAGTAAGGGATGGAAATAGTTACAGTTCTCAGGAGAACAATGAAGCATACGAGGGTATTTTCTTACAAGCTTTGTGTACTGTTTGATCTTCACAGCTACTTTATATAGGTACTATATTTTTTTTAATGAAGAGCATAGACCATATTTAGTAAAAGGCAAGTGAATTTTGGGCAAAAGTAAAGCAAAACCAAGGAGAATGCACAGGTTTAAAACATAATACAGTACTGAGTTTGAAATGAGAACACATTAGCACGAATTCTACATACAGCCCTTTACAGAGGAGTTCCCTATTCATTGCCTGTTTTTATCCTCCCAGAAAGATAGGCAAAGTTAGAATTCTGGGAACAGAGTTTTTGGGTTATGAAACCTTTTTTGGTTCCCAATGCACTGTATCACTCTGCCTCATAGGTGTCTATGTGGATCTTTTCAGGTTTTTAAAATTTTGATTTTTACAATGGAAGAAAGCAGATAATGGAAAAAACATCCT